AACCAAGAATGCTGATAACATTGATAGACGTAGTGACTTTTCAAATGGTTTTGTATTTTGGGGGACAAAAGATAAAGTCTATTTTAAGATTTAATATGATATAATGACATCAAATTTTAATATCAAGCAAGATTTATGGTTGAGTTTTGACTAAGAAGTGAAGATTGAACAAATAGTAGTAGGATCACTTATATAACACAAGCCAGGAGTACATTCATATTCATCCTGAAGGATAAGAAAGCATACTCCACTTAACTATTGCTTTTTAACTTTATAACATGTTTATTGTTGGAAAAAAATCAAGCAGTACTGGACATAAAGTGAAGGCCCCTCCCCCAGGTTGCAGCCCCATTTTTCAGAGGTAAGTGGTCTTGAAATGTTGCTTATGCCTTCTGTGAGCGATCTATAAGCATCCTATATGAACTTCATGTTTATCAACTCACAGTGGATCAAGGACCACTTTGAGTAGACCAGAGACCCTGTGCCTACTATAAGAAAAAGTAGGCTCAAATCTCCATCATGTTGGCTTGCGAACTGAATTCCTCAAAAAACAAACAAACAAACAAAAAAACTCCTAAAGTGCAAGAAGTAAAATCATAAATCAATAAATGAAATGGTTTGAAACTAAAAAGCTTCTTCATAACAAATGAAACAATCAAGAATGTGAAGAGAGAGCCTACRGAATGAGAGAAAATCTTTGCCACCTGTACCTCAGATAGAGCATTAATCTCTAGGATATATAAAGAACTCAAAAAACTTAACAGCAAAAAACAAATAACCCAATCAATAAATGGGCTAAGGAACTGAACAGACACTTCACAGAAGAAGAAATGTAATTGATCAACAAACATGAAAAAATGTTCAGCAATTAGAGAAACGCAAATCAAAACTAAGATTTCATCTCACTCCAGTCAGAATGGCAATTATCAAGAATATAAGCAACAATAAATGTTGGAGAGGATGTGGGGGAAAATGTGGACTCGTATATTGCTTGTGGGACAGCAAATTGGTGTAGCATTCTGAAAAGCAGTATGGAGATTCCTTAGAAAACTTGGAATGGAACCACCAGCTATCCCTCTCTTCAGTCTATACCCAAAGGACTTAAAATCAGCACACTAGAGTGATGTAGCCACATCAATGTTTATAGCAGCTCAATTCACAGTAGCTAAACTATGGAACCAACCTGGATGCCCTTCAATAGATGAATGAATAAAGAAACTGTGGTATATATACACAATGGAATATTACTCAGCATTAAAGGAATAAAATTATGGCATTTGCTAGTAAATGGATGGAACTAGAGAATATCATGCTAAGTGAAGTAAGCYAATCCCGGCCAAATGTTTTCTTTGATAAGCAGATGATCAAAGTGGTGGGTGTGGGGTGGGTGTGGTGGTGCAAGCCTGTAATCCCAGCACCTGCGTGGCGGGTGCTGAGACAGGTAGATTGCAAGTTCAAAGCCAGTCTCAGCAAAAATGAGGCGCTAACCAACTCAGTGTGACCATGTCTCTAAATAAAATACGAAATAGAGCTGGGGATATGGTTCAGTGGTCGAGTGCTCCAAGTTCAATCACTGGTACCCTAAAAACAAACAAACAAAAAAACATAGTTGGGTGTAAGGGAAGAATGAAGGAACTTTGGATTGTGCATAAGGGAGTGAGAAGAAGGGTGGGGTTGTGGGGATTGGAAGGACTATAGAATGAGACTGACATTATTACCCAATATACATGTATGATTACACTACCATTGTGACTCTGCACCACGTACAGCCAGAGGAATGAGAACTTTTGCTCCATTTGTGTACAATAAATACATTCTACTGTCACAAATTATTAATTAGAACAAATTAAGAATTTAAAAATAATATACATGTATGATTACACTATCATTGTGACTCTGCACCATGTACAGCCAGAGGAATGAGAACTTGTGCTCCATTTGTGTACAATGTGTCAAAATGCATTCCACTGTCATGAATTACTAATTAGAACAAATTAAGAATTTAAAAATAATTCAAGGAATAATAAATGTTGGCAAGGATATGGGGAAAAAGGCACACTTGTAYATTTCTGGTGGGACTGCAAATTGGTGCAACCACTATGGAAAGCAGTATGGAGATTCCTCAGAAAACTTGGAATGGAACCACCATCTTACTCAGTTATTCTACCCCTTAGCATACCCAAAGGAGTTAAACTTAGTATACTACAGTTACGCAGCCACACAATGTTTATAGCAGTTCAGTTCACAATAGCTAAGTTATAGAACCCACCTAGGTGCCCTTCAACAGATGATGAATAAAGAAAATGTGGTACATATACTCAGTGGAATATTACTCAGCTATAAAGAAGGATGAAGTTATGGCACTTGCCAGTAAATGGATGGAACTGGAGACTATTGTGCTAAGTGAAATAAGCCAATCCCCAAAAATCAAAGGCCGAATATTATTTCTGATATATGGTTGCTAACTAACCATAAGTGAGTGGGAGAGTATAYTCACTGGATTAGACAAAGGGGAATGAGGGAAGGAAGTGTGGACAAGAATAGGAAAGATAGTAAATGAATCGGACATGACTTTCCTGTRTTCATATATGAATACATGACCTATGTAACTCCACATCATGTACAACCACGAAAATTGGACGTTACATTATATTCCATGTATGTTTGATATGTCAAAATACATTCTACTGTCAAGTATAACTAAAAAAGAACAGACTGGAGCAGTGGTGCATGTCTGTAATTCCAGCAGCTTGGGAGGTTGGGACAGGCAGATTGGGAGTTCAAAACCAGCCTCAGCAACTTAGAAAGGCCCTAAGCAACTCTGTGAGACACTGTCTCTAAAAATACAAAAAGGGTTGGGGATATGGATCAGTAGTTTAGTGCCCCTGGGTTCAATCCCTAGTACCAGAAAATTAAAAATAAAAACATAAAAAGAACAAATAAAAAAATTAAGTTCATGTTTATTTACATAAATGAGAGCCTACTTGTGTTTCACCTATTCTGTATCCTTATTTTTACCTGAATTATTTAGGATATTTTTACATATTCACATGTTGAAGATCTCTTTCTCTCTGTCTCCCTGTCTCTCTCTCTTTTGCTACTGGGGATTAAACCCAGGGTTGCTTAATCACTGAGCTACATCCCTAGTCCTTTTTTAAATTTTATTTTGAGACTGGGTCTCCCTAAGTTGCTTAGTGTCTTGCTAAATTGCTGAGGCTGTCTTTTAACTTGTGGTCCTCCTGCCTCAGCCTCTGGAGCCTCTGGGATTAAAGTTGTGTGTCTCATTCTTTTCAGTGTCTGCAGAGTATTCCACAATGCAGTTAATCCCCAGACAGTGATCATTTGGGTTGTTATTGCAAGCAATATGATATGATTGACATCTGCATGCATAGAACTGACTTGTCACCTTTTATGAGTTTACCCATGGGATAATAAGTTTTTAAAAACAAAATTGTTGTTACAAACAGCAGGTACACTTAAACTTTTGATAGATATTGCCAAATAGCTACACACTATTGGTCTGTTTATTTACTACTCTCACACTGTCATTAAGGTTTTTAAGCTAATCTGTGGGGTAAAACGGATTCCTTATTGCTTAATTAACACATTTTACTCCTAATGTAGGCTGAAGACCTTTTCACATGTTTACTAGTGTTGGGACCTTGGCTATTTGGGCAGATTTTTTTTGGGGGGGGAGGTATTTTCTCTTTAGCAGTATTCTGTAGGTTAATTAGGAATAAGGAAGAAATAAAGATAAAAAGCTTGATTCATGGCTTTCAGGAATAATCTACCTGGGGAGATAGAAAGGTAACATTTCGAAGGCCATCTTTTACATGGTGGGAGCTTTAGGGAATAATGAATTGGAAGGGGAAACTGAGTTTAAAAAGCATGAGTATTTTAGGAATATTGCTAGAACTGGCCTTTGGTCAGAGGTGGGAGCCAGGAGAGATTTGAAGATAGGATCAAGTATGGGCAAATTTAGAGAAAATAGCTGAAAGCCAAGGAAGTCTTCTGGTACAGTAAGAGAGTGGAGGCACTAGCTAGGAGGATTCTTTGGAGGTGGTGGAACAGTGGGCTTTTTAAGTTCCATCTCATTCTGGTTTTCATTGATAAGACCGTAGGACCAGGTGATTGTGTGTGTGTGTGTGTGTGTGTGTGTGTGTGTGTGTGTAATCCTTGGCATGAATCATTGGAGGATAGATGTCATTGGAATTCAGCTTTGATTTTGTTTTCTCTGGGGGTAGAGAGCATGTGGAGCTTGCTGCCAAAGGCCCTCAGTAACTAGTTCTCTTTTGCTAGGCTGAACTTTTTCCACCTGGGCATTTCAGCTGCTCAGGCATTGGCTTCACTCGCTCTTCTCAGCCAATAGTGCCCTCATGTTGCTGCCTGGGCTGGGGTGAATGCCCAGGGTATTCTGGCCAGGCCTTATAGTAGCCCCTGGGCTCTGGCCTTTCTGCCTGTGGGCAGGAATTACTGTTCTCACACTTTTTTTTTTTTTTTTTTTTAAAGGAGAAACCTTTTATTGGCACAGTCATTCCTTGTTAAATTGACAGGGTGAAGATGTAATTTTTCAAAAACAGTAAAAGCTGATTTCTCCCAAACTAGTTTCAATGTAGTAGTCAAGGTCAGTAGGTCAGCCAGCAAATCATGACCACTTGATTTGTTTTAAGCCAGACCATTGGGAGACAATCTGTAAAAACGAGTATAGCTCTTCCAGCTATTAGATTTGTTCATTCACATGATCAGCGGAGGTGCACAAAAAATAAAACTTCTATTAAAAAAGAATCAGCCAAGGACAGAACCAGAGAGGGCTTACAGCACTACCAAGGGTCACGGATGCAGGCGCCCTGCGTCGACGCGGCTTTCTCCAAAGGATTGCACGCCATGCCTGCTACGGACCTGTGGCATCTAGAAGGCTACTTGCTTAGAGGTACTGCTCCGCGCCGGCATTTGTCCTTCCTTTGGAAAGCCTGCAGCCAAAGCCAAAGCTTGGACGAGGGGGGGGAGGGTGTTGCAGCCAGAGCCGGAGCAGCAGGCACTACAAACAGCACTAGTCTACGGGGAAGACTCGGGGTGCACTGTGGCCATTGTCCACTGAACAGGCTGGGAGGGAGCAGGAATGAACACGTTTCCTTGGAAGACAGTTCTACCTGGAAGCGTGAGTTTGGCCTGATCCAGTTCTTTAGACCCTGTCTACAACTTCTTGTACCTTATGTGAACTCAAAGAATAAAAGATATTCTTGCCCGCATCTCACCCCCAGACCAGTTGGCTATGTTTAGGGAAACCCCCAGGACTGGCCAGCCAGGCCTGCAGCAGACTAGATCTTTGCCCAGTATTGGTCAGTGCGTAGGATTCCAGCCACAATTTCTGATTCAATTCCACAGTGATCCTCTCCTCTGAGGATTTTAAAGAACCCATTGTCACCCCAGTCAGTGTTCCAGGAGTTGGTCACCAGCCAGTAAGGGATGCCATTCTCTACCCCCCAGCCAAGGATGCGGATGGCGTGGCCTCCCATCATCTCTCCAGCAACATGCTGGTACACTCCTGATTTGTAGGTCAGGAAGTCTGAGAAGACGGTGAAGGCGCCCTCCACTGGGCCATTTTTGTAGATCTCTGCCATGATCTCCTTCTCGTTACTGGAGACGCTGTAGGAACTGTACCCRTAGTGCTTGTCCTCCTTGTAGGACGGGGCGTAGCCGGGCTCACAGCTCTTGCTGCATCTGGGAGTGTCCCCCTCTCCTGTGCACTGGGGCCGGGAACCATTGACGTGGTGCTCACAGGGAGGGATGGAGTAGGGTCTGCAGCCTATGTGGGAGTCATACAGGCCACCAGAAACCAGGCCTTTTTTTGTCCAGAAGTTCCAAGCTCCAGATGGATAGCCTCCATTACAGCCGTCCCCACACTGGCTGCCACAGCAGGTGAGCATGTCCTCTGCAGACACCTCCACATTGACGTGCCCGTTGGTGTGGATGCAGATCCGATCAGACATGGCCTCCACAGCCCCAAATGCCCAGCAAGAGCCACAGGAACCCTGGTCTCTGATCTCTTTGATGGTTGGACAGTCGGGCCACTGTTCCCAAGCATCGAAGCTTTCAGGCAGATAGATGTCCTCAGCGAACCGAACTCTCTCGGGCAGCCGGAGCCCACCCAGGAAAGTGCCACACAGCCTCTTCAGGTAGCTCACGTCCACATTGTGAAAATTGCGTCCCGCCTGCCATGTGGTGTTCTGCTTGTTGATGTAGGTGATCAGTTCGTCTGACAGCGGGTGGAAAGAAGTCCTGCCCTGGGCTCTGGTCAGCACCAGTAGATAGCAGAGAAAGGCCAAAGGCCACCACATTCTGGAAACTGGATCCTGAACCCACCTGAGCAGGGCGGATTAACTGTCAGGGATGAAACTCTACCACAGTCTTCTAAGTGATGCAACTCATGCTGCAGACTGCGGGTGGCCCAGCTTTCTTGTGGAGCACAACGCCGAGAGCTGGGGCCTGTGGTAGGGGAGCAGCGAGCTCGCGGAGACGAAGGTGGAGCCGGAGCCCGAGCCGCAGTCTGTTCTCACACTTTGTGATGGTGCCCTTGGAAGCTCTTGTACCTTTTCTGGGATCCCATTTCTCTTTTTAACCAACTTAAGCTGTTTTCTATTTTATGAGGATTTTTCAATGCTTGTGATCTCCTGTGATTTCTTTTTATTTTATTTTATTTTTTAAGACAGGGTCTTATTAAGTTATGAGGCTGGCCTCAAACTTGGGTCCTTCTGCCTCAGCCTTCTGAGTAGCTGGGATTACAGGCACAGGTCATGGTGCTTAATTTCCTTGTGAATTTTTGAGCATGGCTGTTTATTCATTGACTATTTAAAAACCAAAACCAAAACAAACCAAAACAAAAAACCTCMTACATTATTTCTAGGGTTTAGTGAGAAAAGAGGAGAAGGAGACCCTGCCCTTTGTGTCAGTAAGCTGTCTTCTTGTTGTATTCTGTCTAGTATCTCCTGATATACTTGCAGTCTTTATTTATATTGTTGTTTTGGAATGATTTCACAGTGGTCYTGGTCTGAACACTTATTTTGATTTAATACCTAACTTTGTGGTCTACCCTAGCAGTTTTGAAAGTAAAGTTTATCCTGTAAATTCCAACAGAAAACAGGCAAAGGATATGAACAGGCAATGACTTCATTCTCAGTAAGAAATGCGTAAATTAAGGGGTTGGGGCTGTGGCTCAGCAGTAGCAAGCACACTTGCCTGGTATGTGTGAGGCACTGGGTTAGATTCTCAGCACCTCATATAAATAAATAAAATAAAGGTCTGTCAACAACTGAAAAAAAAGAAATATGTAAATTAAAACTGTAAATAAGAATTTTCGAGTATTAGTTGGTAAGGATCATACACTTTGTAGAAACAGGCATTGCTATAGGAGTGCAAATTGGTTTAGCCACTATGGAAGGCAAGTAGGCAGTGCCCATCAACACTAGAGATGCACATGGCCATGGACCCATGTTTCTTTTTCTCTAGATTTATCATATCTGTGTACTCATACGTGTGTGAAATGTCAAGTGACTGTATATGATATAAATAATACTTATCTGTTATTGGAGAATTATTGGTAATAACAAAATCTGTAGATTATGTAAATTTTCATCACTGTCATTATTTTATATATATATATATATATATATATATATGGACATATAGTTGTAAAAGGAATGAAGTGCTTTATGTATAGGTAGGAAATAATTTCTAGTATGTACTGATAGGTGTTAATAGTAAAGTAAAGAGGCATATATCATGTACCATGGTTGTGTAAAAAGAACAAATACATATGTTTGTGCATAGAATATCTGTGGAACTGTGCCCAAGAAACTGGTATTGTTTTCTCTGAGTTGAGAAACTAGGTGGTTAGGACATGGAAAACGAGGGGGACACTTTCTACTATATGTCCTTTAAGTTTTATATTTTGTACCATGTGTATTGCTGATTCAAAAAATAAAAATAACAAGTCTGACTTAAATTTCTTCGTTAGGCTTCTATGAAGTATTGTTTCTCATTGTTGCCTTGTCTAGGATGGGAAGGGAGTTGATTTTAAAATGAAATTTTGTTCTTTTGAAAATCTAGCATTCATATACAATGCTAAATTCCTAAAGTAAATTGTTTTAATTGATTGCTTTTAAGTTGCTACACAAAAAGTAATTAATTCAGTACTTAATTCAGAACAAATTGCTCTGGTTTCTCATTTATTTTGATTTGGTGTCCTTTTTAGATTTTTAATTTAAATGAGGCATAGAGAGGCAAAATTGATTCTGTCGTAGAGCCAGGAGAAGCTGTACTTAAACTACATGTGCCAGTAAACCAAACACTCTCAACTAGCCTAGTGTGACCCATACACTTAGAGGTGTTTATCCAGTGAACTAATGTCAGACCTACAGTGTTAACTGCTAATTAACAAGAGTGCCTGGTAAATAGCAGATTGTAAACAAGTCATCAAGGTAATTATTTATTTATTTATTTATTTATTTTTATTAGCTACACATGACATTACAATGATCTTGGCAATTCATACATTTGAATCATTGGGGTATAATTTCTCATTTTTCTAATTGTACAGATTGCAGAATCACACTGGTCATAGAGTCACCTATATACATACAGCAGTCATATTGTCTCTTCTATTCTGCTGCCCTTCCTATCCCCCCTTCTCCTCCCCTCCTCTCCCATCCTTTTTCTCTATCCAATCTAATGTGACACATTTTTTTTTCTTTTTCTCATCACAACATCATACATGTATTCTGAGGTTCTCCTTCCATCTTCCGTGCAACTCCCCTTCTCCCTCTTTTTTCCTCCCACCTCTCTTCCCTATTTAGTGGTAGTCTTCTTCTCATGCTCTTCCTCCCTATCCCATTTTGAGTCACCCCCCTTATATCAGAGAAGACATTCGGCATTTGTTTTTTAGGGATTGGCTAACTTCACTTAGCATAATCTGCTCTAATGCCATCCATTTCCCTGCAAATGCCATGATCTT